AACAGGTAGGAGACGAAACCGAGACGGGTACGGAGATGGCGATGAGACCTGGATGGGGACGGGGACAGTAAGGGCACCGGGACGAGGATGGGGACGGAGAGGAGACCGGGACCGGGACCGGGATCCTGGACGGCCATCGACTCGCTCGGCGTTCGCTCCCTCCCTGCGCCCTGTGTCGGCGCTCGGCAGTGGCGCCTGGGCAAGATGGCGGCGCCCGTGGCGGCGTGCCGGTGACTCGGGCCATGCTGGCGCTGCTGGCCCGGCCGGGCCGCGCCTGGCCCGCCCTGCTGGGCAGGGCACAGCCCGGTGAGGCCCGCGGGGGTCGGGAGGCCGCTGGGAGAGCGGCTGGGAACTCGCGCTGGAGGAATTGGGAGCGGCCGGGGCCGCGGCGGGAGCTGAGGGTGCGGGGAAAGGGCGGTCGGGGGTGGCCGGGGGTACTCAGGGGGGCACACGGCGGGTTCGTGGTCTGTCCCCCCGAAACGAGACAGGCGGGGTTTGTTGCCATTATGACCTTGGGGGTCCCTCGGATCGCGGGTGGCTGAGCCGGGCACAGGCGAGTGGCCTGAAGCAGGTGCTGGTCCCAGCAGCAGGGCCCTGAAAGAGCACTGGCATTTCCTCAGGCTCTGGGGGTCTGCTTAGAGGTGGCTCTAAGATCACACAGGCTCCTAGTTCCTGCTGTTTGGAGCTCTAAGATCACACAGGTTCCTAGTTACTGACATCTGTTGTTTTGGAGAAATCCTGCAAAAATGAGAAATGTTGAGGTCAGGACGCCACTGTCGGCCAGGGCGAGTGGCCGCAATTGGAGGTCATTTCCCATGGGAAAAAAAAGTCATTTCTCCAGGATCTGGGTATCTCCTTAGAGGTGGCGACTGGGGCTCTAAGATCACACAGGTGCCTAGTTGCTGACCACTGTAGTTTTGGAGAAATCCTGCAAAACTGGGAAATGTTGAGGTCAGGACGCCACTGTGGGCCAAGGCAAGTGGCTGCAATAAAGTCCATTTTCCATGGGAAAAAGAAGTCATTTCCCCAGGCTCTGGGGATCTGCTTAGAGGTGAGGATTGGGGCTCTAAGATCACACAGGTTCTTAGTTGCTGACCACTGTAGTTTTGGAGAAATCCTGCAAGTTTGGAAATGTTGAGATCAGGAGTTTGTTCTTGAAAGGTCAAAGAATGACGAAGTCGCAGCTGGTGATGAATATTCACGTCTGTGTCAGAGGTTGTCCCCCCAGGTGTCACTGCCCCTGAGCTCTGACACTGTGGTGGGCCAGAGCAGCCTGTCCACATCGCTAATGAGATTAATTAATCTGTTAATTCAGCCGTTTAAACCCTCTAAATGAACGTGTTTGCCCGGGGGTGCCCTCCCTCTGCTCAGTAGCAATAACTCAGTGTGTGCAGTCAGTTCTGCTGCTCCAGCCCTGCCATTTGCCCACAGTCAGGCAGCCCAGCTTGGTTTGTGTCAGCACCGTGTGAGAGCCACCCTGAGCTACCCCACACACCTCTGGGACTAAAGATCTGCCTGCTCACTGATCACCCAGAGCCTCAGTGCCCTGACCCCACACACGCCTGTCACCCTGATTTTTTAAAATTTTTCTAAAGCCTTCTGAGTTTACATTCTTGTAGCAAACTTTTTCACACACTTTCTGTAAATAGCTTATTGTTTTTACATTCCTTCATAGAGGCAGAGAAATTTGATGTACTGGTAGTTTGTCCAATGTCATTGGAGAGGTGGCACTTTCACCCTCCAATCCACTGTCAGCTTTGGAAAACTATAAATGCTGGAGTCAGAAAATAAACTTCCCTTTTTTACCTTTACAATAACAGCAATACACCTCGTGTTTTCTCGTGTCCTGTAGCAACACACACCGAGCAGTATTTGGCTGTACAGAGCTGGAGAAGTGCACACAAGGCTGAATTTTCTGTTTCTCCCCCACAGCTTGCAGTCCTGTGCTCCAAGCAGCCAGGGGCTATGCCAGACCTGTGATAAAGAAGAGGAAAGGTATGTCAGGATCCACAGGACCAAATGTTTTAAATATTTTGCTGTTGGCATGCTCAGAGCTGAACCCTCATGGCACAGAAATCATTCCAGAAATAGTTCCTTGCAAGCTCAGGAGTTACTCATAAAATCCCCCTCCTCCTCAGTGTGGGGAAGTGAACAATTGTCAGCAGCAGATCTGTGAGGGTGGGAAAGGCCTGGCACAGGGTGCTCAGAGAAGCTGTGGCTGCCCCTGGATCCCTGGAAGTGCCCAAGGCCAGGTTGGACAGGGCTTGGAGCAGCCTGGGACAGTGCAAAGTGTCCCTGCCATGGCAGGGGGTGGGATCAGATGGGCTTTAAGGTCCCTTCCAGCACAAACTCTTGGTATTCTGTGATCTCTGAGCTCAGTGGAATGCTGTAAATATATGTACACCATGTTGTAAATCCAGAGGGCTGAAGGGAAGACACTGAACCAATTCTTTTCCACTCAGTTCCTGCCCTCTTAGCTGGATCTGCTCAGTTCTTCTTGTGTGGAGCACACAGCCAGTTTCCTTCAGAGCATGTCAGAGCTCTGACTTTGTCCTGCTCTCCCTCAAATGTTTATCTCTCTGTAGACATCCCCAGCCATCTGGATGACCTTCCTCCCACCATGCTGAAGAAAGATTATGCCAACCTCCCAATCATGAGCAGGTATGGAGAGGGAGAGGGAATGGCTGCTCTCTCCAGGGGTTTGTATTTACATGTAACAAACACATGGTGTGTGGAAGCTGTCACCTGCTCACTAATTAGTTATTAATGCTCTGTGGGCACAAAAATGGCAAAGCCAGTTTGAAATCAGATTTACAGACAGACAATGGTCAGGGCTTGATTACAATCCATGGGAGATCAAGTGCTGGTTGCCCACACCCTCTGTGGGCTTTGTAGTCCATAAGAAATAAAAAAAAAAAAAAAAATAAATAATCTTGAAATACTAGAAACAGTCATCTTGCAAATAACCTGTGCCTGTCCTGAACTCAGGTGATAGAGTGTCATTAAACAGCTCCCCATGAGTTCAGCTGCTGCCAAATTTGGGCTCTGGGGCTCAGCACTGCTGTGCTCTGATGCAGAGCTGCTCGTGTGTGGTGCAGGGAGGGCCTCCAGTGGCCCGACTGTGACTTTCACTGCTCTCTGAAGGAACCAGCCTTCAAATTAAATATTTTTGCAGCAAAACTACTCTATATATAATACTCTATATGTAATCCAAGCCATGATTTTGCTTAGGAAAGTGAGCACCGGTTTATGGCTGTCAGGTTTGGGAGGGGAGGAGAGTCCCTGTAAATTTGTAGAATAAAATAAAGCTGAAAAAAAAGAGTACTTTCTGAGAACCTGAGTTCATTTGTGTTGTTAAATATATGTGTTTCTGGTTTATAAGCTAATTTGCCATCTCCTTGCAGCATGGATGATGTGGTGAAACGGCTGCTGTCCCTGGAAATGGCAAGTCAGGTCAGTGTCATTCTGCTTGCTTGAAAAGAAAATAGATTTAATGAACACCTCCATGTGAGACTTGTCTGTGTTGTTAAATATCTTTCACTTACTGTATTTTTAAGTGGCTGTAAATATAGGGTGATGAAATACAGTGTTAAATCCAGTTTGCTCTTAAAATTTATCACACTAAAGTGGTTACAATTGCATATTAAAATGAGAGAAGAAAGTATTCAGGGGTGACAGGGCAGTGAGCTCTTCTGTTGCTGCTCATGGCTGACCTCCTGTGTTCTAGAAACCATTGCACTGGACAGCTGATGTCCTTCAAGTTATTTTTACTTTCCATATGCCCAGAAAACAAACAGGTAGGAAAGTGGCACAAAGATCTCTATGCCATTCCTCTATGCTTGCCACTTCAGCTTAAAAAGATGAAAAAGCACTGAGTAAAGGTCTGAATTGAAAAGCCTTTACCTGGATGTTTGGGAAGAGAGCAGAGTGTCTCTGACCTCTGGTGTTCTGGGACAGTGACAAGCTCTTTTCTGTGCCCCACAGAAGGAGAAGCTGAAGGTAAAGACACAGCAGCTGGTGGAGAAGGTCAGGAGGTCTCCTAGTGACAATGGCTCCTTTGAGGTGCAAGGCAAGTTAAAAAAGGGAAGGGTATTGTTGGCAGATGAAACATCTCTGCTTCTATTCAGCTGTTCCCACCCCAGCACTTCCAGTTTGCTGTATAACTCAGGAGAATCTCCTCCAGGAGAGCTGCTGAGAGGCAGGTAGCCTGCAGGATGCCCTACAGGACTGCTCCAGGTCTGGAAGTGTTGCAGAGGCTGCTGGGGTGCTTCCAAATTCCTGCTCCACATCCACCCTCCAAAGGCAGTGGGTGCATCATTCTGCTTGTAGTGCTTCTGTGACTTGAAGCACTGAGCTGCAGCTGTTACCAAAATGAAGCAAATTCAGCCACAGAACCCAAATTTTTCTCTGCATCAGAGAGCTGTGGCTGAGGCACAGTGGGGACAGTGCAGGGACAAAGGCCATGTTGCACTGACCAACACTGACATCTCCTTTGTCATCAGCAAAGCCCTTCAGTTCCCCAAGATGCCACTGAAATCCCAAAGACTTGGCTGCTGCCCTGAGAAAAAAAAAAATAAAACCTTTATTGCTGTCTGCTCCCCCAGAGCTTAAATCCCATGAGGCGAAATAAATGTCAAATCACTGGGAATTGAATGAGTGCAAGAGGAATAAATTCACATATAAATTTATATGATGTGTTGTTAGACTCTTACCCTCTAATTAAGCAGCCTCATAACAGTCACAGCCCTGCAGGTTGTGTGTTCTTGGTTGTTGTGCTCTGTGGGCAGGGGCTGCTTTGGACGGTGTTTGCTGTGGGCAGTGCTTGTTGTGGACAGTGTTTTTTGTGCTGCTGTGGGCAGTGTTTTTTGTGTTGATGTGTGCAGTGTTTTGCTGTGAACACTGTTTGCTGAGGACAGTGTTTTGCTGTGGACAGTGTTTTGCTGTGGACATTGTTTTGCTGTGAACAGTGTTTTTTGTGTTGCTGTGGGCACTGTTTTGCTGTGGACAGTGTTTTGCTGTGGGCACTTTGCTGTGAACATTTTGCTGTGGACAGTGTTTGCTGAGGACACTGTTTGCTGTGGACACTGCTGTGGACACTTTGCTGTGGACACTTTGCTGTGGGCAGTGTTTGCTGAGGACACTTTGCTGTGGGCAGTGTTTGCTGAGGACACTGCTGTGGACAGTGTTTGCTGTGGACATTTTGCTGTGGACACTGCTGTGGACATTTTGCTGTGGACAGTGTTTTGCTGTGGACACTTTGCTGTGGACACTGTTTTCTGTTGACACTTTGCTGTGGACACTGCTGTGGGCAGAGTTTTGTCATGGGCAGTCCCTGCTGTGCTGCTGTAGGTACCTGCAGGAGCTGCAGTGCTCAGCTGGCAGCTTGAGGCAAGGCAGATGATCCTGGATCACCTGGGAAAGCTGCTGCTCTCACACAGCTCCTCTCTCTCTCCTTTACAGTTGCTATTTTGACTGCCAAGATACGCACGCTCGAGGAGCACCTCCAGAGGCACCCCAAGGTAACTCGGGGATCTGAGCCCACAGCTGCTCAGGTGGTTTTCTCAGTTTATAACAAAAGGATTTTAATCCTGGGGATTATGGCTTTGCTGAAGAGGTTTATGAAATAGTTACAGCTGCTCCCTGGTGCCAGTGTGGGGAGCTGCTGGCTCAGGCACAGCTGGAGTCTCGCCCGCTCTGGTCTGAGTTCTGGTTTGTTACTGTAGGGGAGAAAACAGCTGAGCAGGTTCCTTTGGGCAGAGTTGAGCTCCAGTTCTCCTCGTTGCAGATGGGGCTTCACCACTTAGTTTTCACTTATTAGTGAACACAGCTGCAGTATTACACAAAGTCTGTGCTTGTTCTGCTAATGGAAATGTTTGGTGGACAGCACTCTGTGGATGTCCCACTCCCCTACCTGCAGCTACCTGGGTTCAGGCCCAAATTTGAGACATCTTGTCTGGATTTATGTTCATAAAACACATATCAAAGGTTCTTTATGCAGAGTAAAAGGTGGGAAATGGGTTGATAACTGCATTTGAAAGTAGTGCATAATTGTTACTCATGGAAACCTGAAGGGTACAAGAGAACAGAATTCAGCTTTTCACTACAAGCCACCAGAAGTTATACCAAGTGTTGAAGTTGGACCTTTCTGAATTCCTTGGCTGAATTTTTTGCATAAATCACTTTTATAGGACAGGGACATGTCTCCTGTGAGGGACTGCCCTGACTGCTGAGGCTTAGGCTACACTTGTGCCCTTCCAAAGAACAGCCAGGCAGTCAGAGCCAAGTCACAGGTTATTTTCATATTTAATTTCTGGCAAAACAAAGATAAATGCTTCTGTTATTCTGAAGCAGCACACTTCAAGAGAAACAGGTTTTTGCCAGAAGACCTTTTCTGCAGCTTTGGCACAGCCTGAACCTGTATACAAGCTGAAAACAGTCCTCAGGGAAGGTGAAGTGGCAACCATGGAAGGGAGAAAGGAATTCCAGTGCAAAGTAAATGACATCTCCTTGGATCAGCTTGTGCTGACCTGATGTTCTCTCAGCATCTGCCAACAAAAGTTGTTCTAAGACTCTGTCCTTCACCTTTCAGCCAAAATCTGCTTTATTCTCAGTAATTACTGGACAGGCAGGACAATCTGCCTGCAGTGGAGTGAACCTTGGGTGCTTTGCAGGACAAAAAGAACCAAAGGCTGATGCAGTGGAATGGACCTTGGGTGTTTGCAGGACAAAAAGAAAGAACCAAAGGTTGATGCAGTGAGTGAACCTTGGGTGTTTGCAGGACAAAAAGAACCACAGGTTGATGCAGTGGAGTGAACCTTGGGTGTTTGCAGGGCAAAAAGAACCAAAGGTTGATGCAGTGAGTGAACCTTGGGTGTTTGCAGGACAAAAAGAACCAAAGGTTGATGCAGTGGAGTGAACCTTGGTTGTTTGCAGGACAAAAAGAACCGCAGGCTGATGCTGATGGATCTGGACCGGCGGAGGAAGATGCTGGGCTACCTGCGCCGGGTGAACTACAACACCTTTGAGAACACCTGCAGGCAGCTGGACATCCAGTACAGCCCCCCCCAGCCCTACACCCGCCGCGTCACCAAGCGCTGGCTGGTCAAGAAAGCTTTGTGCATCAAGGTATGGAGCAGGCTGGACAGGAAAAACCCCTCTGCAAAAGTGTGGGAAATGAATTTACCAAGAAACCTGGCAGGCACAGTCTTCTCTCTGTCAGGATTTTTTCATACAGGAGCACAGAGAGAAGAATGTGCCTGCCACAGAGAATTCTTAAAGTTTGGCAGAAGTTATGTCAGCCCAGCTCCTGGAATGTTTGGGACAGAGCAGGTTGCTTTGCAATGGGATGGAGTTTCCAGGAATAAATTTGTAAATCTTGAGCAGATGCAGCACGTGCAATCGTGTGATATTCAAATAGGATGGATTTGTATGTAAACTTTGAGATTATTTTACAATTTTACAATTGGATGGTGTTAGGTTGTCAGAATTAAATATATCTTTTACTGCATTGTTAAAATATGGGGAATTTAAGTCACTGCTTTTAATAGCTTTTTTAAAACATTTTAATATTATAATGTGAGATGTTAGAAAAGGACCTAATCCGACATAAAAGTTAGAAATAGAAAAGTTAGACCGATAGCCAAGTCCTCTTAAGCCAGGCTTTGACTTTGATCCTGTCTGTAGAGAACTGCCTGAGCTCAGCCAAGAGCTACATGGGCACTGACACATGCTGGACCCAGGCACTTCAGGTTGGGCCACTGGTTTGCTCAAAAATGTGTTACTCAAACCAGCTTTTTTCTCAAATCCTGGTATGGGAACCAATATGTGAGATAATTTGATGGCAGTTTGGAACAGAAACGTGGGTGCACCCATTGTCTGCCCTAATTTGCTCAGAATATATGAGTGAAACTACTGCATGCAGTAGATTTTGGTAAAACTGAGCAGAACCAAAAGCTGCACATGCCTTAGGTTTTTAAATCATAAATTTTAATCCAATTAAATGATAACCAAAGGTGTCCAAGGAATGACTAGACATGGCACTCAGTGCTCTGGCCTGGTTGACAAGGTGAGGATCAGTCACAGGTTAGACTCTGTGCTCTCAGAAGTCTTTTCCAATGTGAATGATTCAGTGATTGACTGGGTGGCTCTAACAGAACGATCTCAGATGATTCCCTGGAGCAAGGAAGGCACAGAGGGAGGATTTGATCTGGCTCTGCCTGCAGCCAACAGCCTGGGCAGCAGCTCTGCAGGCAGCTTTATCTCTCTCCCTTCTGTTCCACAGGTGTTCCAGGAGAAGCAGAAGCTGAAAGCAGCTGAGAGACTGAAGCAAAGGCAGGCGAGAGCAAGGGCTGCACGGGAACAGCAGGAGAAGCAAGTGCAGGAGAAGGAGGCACAGGAGGGGACACCTGTGTAGTGGCACAGCCAGGCTGGCACTGACAGGCTGACAATAAACACCTGCCCAAAGACTTGAAGCCTCTTTGCTCTCGTGCTGTGGTCTGAGCCGTTTTGAGCACCTGGGAAGGGCAGCTGGTGGTTTGAGTGGTTTAGAAGTTTAATTTCAGGCTGAGTGCTGGGCAGGTTGGTCTGTGAGAGGACCTGGGGGCTCCAGCAGTACCCTGCAGATCTGTCAGTGGGAACAGCTCAAGGCCTGCCTGTGTCCTGTCAGCACAGCCAGTGCAGAGGTTTGCACTGCCACATTTTCTTAGATATTTATAAACTGAAACTTAAGACATTTAGATTGGATGTTATGAATACATTCTTCCCTGTGAGAGTGGGGAAGCCCTGGCACAGGTTTCCCAGAGAAGCTGTTGCTGCCCCTGGATCTCTGGAAGTGCCCAATGCCAGGTTGGACAGGGCTTGGAGCAACTTGAGATAGTGGAAGGTGTCCCTGTCCATGGCAGGAGGTGACACTGGATGGGCTTTAAGGTCCCTTTCAACCTAAACCATTATTCACATGCACTGAGGCTGTGCTTGTGCACTGGGGTGATCCACACAGGGACTGGGGCAATGTGCACACGGACTGGGATGATCCACACAGGGACTGGGGCAATGTGCACACGGACTGGGATGATCCACACAGGGACTGGGGCAATGTGCACACGGACTGGGATGGTCCACACAGGGACTGGGATGATGGCACACAGACAGGGATCATGCACACATGGATAGGGACAGTGCACACAGACCAGGACAATATGCACGTGTACCAGGGATAATGTGCACACTCACGCCAGGATGATGCCCACACTCAGACCAGAATGATGCACACTCACGAGGAGGACACACCAGGAGGATGCACACACACCGGGATAATGTGCACACTCAGACCAGGACAAGGCACACACGTACCGGGGATGGTGCACACTCACACCGCGACGCTGCACACACACTGGGAGGATGCACACATGGATCACGATGATGCACTCACACCAGGATAATGCACACTCACACCGGGATGCTGCACACTCACACCGGGAGGATGCACACTCTGCACACTCACACCAGGACGCTGCACACTCACACCGGGAGGATGCACACATGGATCACGATGATGCACACACCAGGATAATGCACACTCACACCGGGAGGATGCACACATGGATCA